GAACTTTCTGTTTTGCAAATCCTTTTTTTGATTGATCTTAGGAAATATTCTAATATTTTGAGATACTGGATGTTTGACTTTCATGAGCTGTAAGCTCTAATCATCAAAATTAAAACAAAGAATTAAATATATGAAAGTTTCACTTTTGAAATAAGTTACATCTTCAATGATATTCAAAATTTTTTAGATGCACCTGTATATATATATATATATATATATATATATATATCACATCACAGAGATCTTGATTAGCTGGTTCATGTGTGTTTAATTGGGGTTGGAGCTAAAGTCTACAGGACAGTAGCCATCCAGGAGCAGGACTGGACACCCCTACTGTAATCTAAATATGGATCAAAACAGATTGGATATGAGACTGTTAACGTAAATGAGATTGAAAAAGGTTGCATTAGTTTTGAGTGTCTTGACTGAACTTGTGTGTGTCACTGTGTTTTAGACATCTTTTGGCGTTTGTGATTGGAAACAGTTTGTGACAATGATATTAGGACAATATGTTGTTTTAATGCAGGCGGGGTGACGGTCTTACAGTTAGGTGGGGTGTATGTGTGATGCCCTGGGGTGGCTCAGCCCAGCGGTGTGCAGTGACCTGGCTTGTCGCTCACTGACCTGTGAGACTGACATAATGAAGTGTGATTGGCCGTCACCTTAACCGTCAGTGACAAGCCATCCCAGCCCGTAGCACATCTGTGTCAGGCAGCTCCGCCATCAGAGACGGGCTCTCACTGGCGACTCCGCATCCGTCCACACTGCGCTCCTGGGATGGCCCCGGCACCCCACTGCTGCAATATGGCGCTGTTATCCAGCGAGGTCACGGGGGAAGAAGGAGGCAGAGCTAAAGACCAGCTGTCACACACCAGAGCCAGAGGTCCAGAGATTTTTTTTCTTTTTCATTTTTGACTACTTCTACTCAACTACTGTAACTACCTTCACTTGTAAGCCACTTGTACACTCTTAAAAATAAAGGTTCCAAATGGTGGATGATGCCATAAGAAAAAAATGTGGTTCCTCAAAGAACCTTTCAGTGAACCGTTCTTAAAAGAACCAGTTTTTTTGGGGAAAAAAAAAATAAAAAAAATAAATGAAAAGGTTGTGTAAAATATGTGCATTTTAGAAATCTTTTAGAAATCTCAATTATGTCTATCTTTTGATACATGTACATCACTTCCAACCTATATCCTTTAGGTTGAAGATTATCCAACATGATCTCAATACATTTATGCATTGCTTTTGCTCAAAGTAACTCACAAGATTTATATATTGCTTGAGAATTGAACCCATGACCTTAACTTGCTTGATGTTTTGAGCTATAGGAATATATAGTAATAACAGGTATTCATACACATACATTTTGTTTGCATAGACACTTAAATTAAAATGTATTTAGTGTATGTATAGTGTAATATTATGATTGTGTAATTGTTTTTTTAAAAGGTTATTTTTGGGTACCAAAATATACCAAAATAAAACATAACAAAACAAACAAAAAAATCTATATAATATAATATAATATAATTTAAAATTATTTTATAATAGAAAAATATTAAATAGAAATAAATATATATTTATGAAATATAAAAAAATAACTATTTTAATATATACTTTAAAATCATTTAATTCAAAATTATGTTTACATCTTTCTAAAGCAGTTAATGGTTTTCAAAAATGTGTATATTGTACAAAAATATGTACAAATACCTATGAAAGCTATAATGAGATCAGATTGGATTAACTGATTCTGTGTTTTAAATACATGCTTTGAACCGTTCTCTGTAGATCCCACATTTTCATACGATTGGTTACAATGCCTGCATGCTCTTGGTCAAACAAAATTTTAGTTATTAGCTTTAGCAAGTTTGAAAACAATAGGGGGGAAAATCCCAAATCTGGACATTTTAGGCAATTTAGAAAACTTCAGCCAGAACATGTCCAGGAAAACAGTATGTATGATCACTCTACTGTGCCTACCATTATTGTGTGGTTTCATTTGGCTATAAAGGGCTTGAATCAATGGTAATGGTTAGGTGGAAGTGTCACTGTCACATGTGAGCTTTTGGAGTACACTTAAGAATAGCATAAAGCATAGCACAGCTTTTCCCAGTCCACCCAGCAGTGAGTTGCCATGGAATTCAGCAAAACCAATGAAGCACATCGCATGCTCAGTGGCATTTTCTCAAGTCAGAGCTTCTCTGGATGTCCACCTGCACGCCATTCATGTCGAGGCTTTGACCTCATGTACATCAACACACACAGCCTCTAACTGAAGAGATTACTCCACACTTCCACCTCATATTTAATTGAAAATAAAGACAAGGCAAGCTTGGCTGCCCTATTTATGTTCAATCAACCATTGGCTCTCTCTTCTTCATTAAATCTGTCTCTGGGTATTTTTGAAGGCACATTATCAAATTATTAGTATCCGACTTGATACAGTAAATGTATACTGTACTAAAATATTTTTATGTGAAACTGTAACTTCATTAAAGTTCATTAGTAAGTTCATCATAACTTCATCATTAATACCAACACATACTTCTAAGTGAAAATGTCACTTTAATAACAGGGTTACACCTGTAAGATGGCTTATAATGACAATAATCATTAAATGCAAAGCATTAATTATACTTATTTAAATGATTAGATCTTTAGATTTAGGACTACATTAGTAAACTTCAGCAAGGATTGTGTCACAACTGGATTGTGTCAGATTTTTTTAAATATTTTTTTTTTGACATTCCATTCATTCCTATGGGGGGTCAAATTGACCTGCAAGGGAAGGATTGGTTACTTTTTTTACACCCACATAAAGTCCTCGAATCCACTCAGTTTTTTTGTTTGTGTGATCCATGTTCAAGTGTGACAAAATTAAATTAAAAAAACCCAGCAGTTTTTTCAACATTTCATTAATTCCTATGGTCGGGTCAAAATGACCCGCAAGGGAAGGATTTGTGATTTTTTTTTTTATTACAGCCACATAAATCCTCGAATCCACTCTTTTTGAGTTCCAAATTCAAGTGGAACAAAAGTCACAAAGTCCTGTACCACTCAGATGATTTTTTAAAAATTGTTAAAAAAAAAAATAAAAAATTACCCAAGGGAAGGATGAAGGTTGAAGTTGATTTAATTGATTTTCTACTAGCATTATTTTTGAAAAGAAATAAATATATAAGTAAAATAATTGCACAGATATTCATTACTGTACGGCTGAAAATGGAAGACTGAAAAGTAAATAATTTTGACTTTTTGTATGGGAACATGATGTAAACATCATGGGAAATAGCATTAGAAATGTCAAATAATTTGGAAAGCTGATAATAAAATATGCATTTTATGAATTCATATTTCAATAAGTTCAGTTTTTTCAAACCTCTATGAATAAATATTTATTTTATATTTATAGTTTAGCATTTAACCTCTTTATGAAAAATAGTGATTGTGATACATGAAATGTTTACGTCTAATGCTCTTCTATTTAGCATGCACACACTTCTCTGTTGTAACACAGCTGTATAACAATAATTCTTGTGTCAGGAACAGTCTGTTAGAGATTTGTCTGTCTCTCTCACTCAGTGTCAGCATGGCTGGACCTTCTGTGATGCCTACAGAGACAGAGCCTTCCTCTCCTGTCATAGGATATTTTGCTTTGTGGTGTGTGTGTGTGTGTGTGTGTGTGTGTGTGTGTGTGTGTGTGTGTGTGTGTGTGTTGGACAGGACCCTGGGGCAGGACAGCCACATCTCTGTTTGTCAATAGCCAGAACAGAGAAGACAAAGTGACAGAGGCTGAGATGAGTCAAGCTGATGGTACTCTTAACCTGCACATAGATACTGTATTTAGGAAAAAAGATTATATAGCAGTGAAGTGTTCACATTATAGCCTACTTAGATATTGCAGAACTGCATAATGAAAGCTTAACATAGATGTAAGTAACTGTAAGTTAAGCAGTTACATTTTGAGATTCATTAAAAATCTTAAACACATATAAATTGACTTCACATAAGCATTTACATCCTGTTTTATTCTTTTCTATATGATTTCCAAAAAGTGTTTGAAATAAGATTAACACAGCCGTTAGGCACACATACATTAGTCCTGAAGTGTAACATTTTCCTTTTAATATTAATTAATGGAAAAGGACCATTTATGGCTAATTTATTCCTAAATCAAAGACACATTTGAATACTGCATTCAATTCAATTCAATTCAAGTTTATTTGTATAGCGCTTTTCACGATACAAATCGTTGCAAAGCAACTTTACAGCAAATTAAGTTTCTACAGTATTTAGTGGTAGCTTATCAGTGGTGACTGTCAGTTAATGTACATATGGCAGAAATGTACGGAAAAATCAATTAAAGACGTAATCAAACAGACGATGAACACTATTAACAGCAATTATTATATGATGCAATCAAACTTATAGCAAAATGTGGTAGTTCTGTATGTGGTTTCAGGGTTGGCATCATCTGAGGTCCTCTGAGGGGTTGGCATCATCTCTTCTCAGGTGTTCTGGATCCAGACTGAAGCTTGTGTAAATCCTAGTTACCACGGGATGTCAATCAAGTGGCAAAAACAGAGAAACAAATAGAGACACAATTAGTATAGCTGCTGTTCCAACCAAGCAAAATTGATTTGTTTAACCCAAACTAAAGAATAATAATGTACATTTGATCAGCAGACATAACTTTTTCTAAAATTTTAGACATAAAAGGAAGATTTGAGATGGGTCTGTAATTTGCCAGTTCACTAGGATCTAGTTGTGGTTTCTTAATAAGAGGCTTAATAACCGCCAGCTTGAATGGTTTTGGGACGTGACCTAAAGACAACGACGAGTTAATAATATTGAGAAGAGCATTCAGTCTCTATATGGCAGAATTTTAACCAAATTATCAAACAGATAATCAAAACTAAACATGTTTAAATATATATTTGCATCTGGATAAACATATAAAAAAATGTTCTGCAACATTTTCCATTTGTAACAATGGCTGGTTTGCAAAACAAATGAAAAAAAAATTCACTAATACAAACACAAACGCCTTAAAATGATGATAAGGAGAGCAGCAGCAAATCTATGTAATTTCTATTGCTATAACTATTTTATTTGAACTGCTTAATTTCATATCTGGGGTGTAAATTAATTCATTTGTAATTAACAGGTGCAATGATCAGTAAATGATAGAGTTTTTCAGTGAAAGACTGACCAGTGAAAGAGTAGATATGAGATCTGGACTCCACATCATAGAAGTAGACCAGACCCTCCTCATAAAACACAAACACCCCCACCTTCTGTGGCTTCACTCTCAGAGAGAGATAAACACAGGGATCAGCACAAGCCCAATATACATTCCCACTCCTCAGAGCCACAACCCAGAATCCATCCTGAGGACTCACTCTGATCTTTCCCTTCCTGTTAATAGATTCTCTGGCCACTCCTAAATTCCACTGACTCTTTCCCTTCAGCTGCACTTCAAAATAAAATCTCCCTGACAAGAATCCCTCTTTTCCCAGGACACCAGGATAGTGATCAAACCTCTCTTGGTTGTTTGGGAGCTTTTGTTTAATGCCCCTGTGACTCATTTGTTTCCTATCATCAGATTGGGTGAGATTTGGATGAACTGTATCAGGAACCAGAGTCACATCCACTGAGAGAGAGAGAGAGATCAGAGAATATGAATAACATCTTCACAATATAAAGCCTACCAGTTTTACTGAGTTTCTGGTCTAGGGTTTCCTGCAGCTGAGTCAGAGCTCTCCTCAGAGTCTCCACACTCACATCAGTGTTCATACTGATCTCAGGCCAGTTCCTGGTGTGTGGAGGACTGCACAGGGATGGATCAATCTACAGCAGGAGAGAGGAGAAATCCCTCAGCATGAGGAGTGTGAGTGTTGTCCTGTGATGAGAGCAGACAGAGAGACACTGACCTGTAGGAGCTGGAAGTAATCCTCAGTGTGTAAGAGATGATCCAGCTCAGTGTTTCTCATCTTGAGCTCAGTGATTTCCTGCTGCAGCTCTTGAATGAGCTCTTCATCCTGTTTCTCTGCTGTTTTCTGCTTCTCCTCCATCATCTCCAGCAGCTCAGCCGGACATCTTTTAATAGAGTGCAGTTTCTCTCGCTCTGCAGTTTTCTGATTTTTTTTTTTTTGTAATGAAATCAGCTTTATCAAATAAGAGCATTATTCATCAAATATTGAACATGCCCACTTTTCTGAGTTTTGCTGAGTGTCTGATGTCCTGAATCTTCCTAATTCTGTCCTGGATAATCTGCTGCACGTGTTTCTGTGTCTTCACCAGCTGTGCCTATAGACAGACATGACAAATTCCACTGACTCTTTCCCTTCAGCTGCACCTCAAAATAAAATCTCCCTGAGGAGAATCCCTCTTTTCCCAGGACACCAGGATAGTGATCAAACCTCTCTTGGTTGTTTGGGAGCTTTTGTTTAATGTCTGTCCTGGTTAATCTGCTGCACGTGTTTCTGTGTCTTCACCAGCTGTGCCTATAGACAGACATGAACATATTTTATATTTTATCAAGACATATTTGATCACTTTTCTTAACATGTATTTTACATTTCTGACAAAAGATATTGTTGGAATATTTAAAACTATGTTATGAAACTGTTTTAATGTTGTCAGTATCTCATACCATCTTCTCTTTACTCTCCTCTTCTAGAGGAACAGTGTTGTGAGTCTTGTGGTCTCCATCAGTGCAAAACACACACACATACGTCTGATAATCTCTACAGAACAGCTCCAGAGGTCTCTCGTGTTTCTGGCATATATAGTCCTTCATATTCTCCACAGGGTCCATCAGTTTGTGTTTCTTTAAATTCAAGACTCTCTGATGAGGCTCGTTTCACAGTAAGAGATCTGACACACCAGACAGGACTTCAGGGCTTTCAGCTTTCTTTCATCACAGATGTCACAGAGAACTTCAGATTTACTCAGACTGGACTTTTTCTGAAAGAGTTGCGCAACCTGTCTAAGTGCAGTGTTGATCTTGAGGTCGGGTCTTTTACTGAATGTTTCTTTACACAATGGACATTTGCAATCCTGACTGTTGTCCCAGCACTGGTTCAGGCAGCTCTTACAGAAGTTGTGTCCACATGGAGTGCTGACTGGATCAGTGAACACTTCCAGACACACTGAACACTGAAGCTCCTCAGCCAGAGGACCACTGGAGGATGATATAGCGGAAAAGAAGGGAAATAATGAAAATATATAAACTTTAGTTCATATCTGCACATATTAAACCAACCCCTCAGAGGACCTCAGATGATGCCAACCCTGAAACAACATACAGGACTACCAAATTTTGCTATAAGTTTGATTGCATCATATAATAATTGCTGTTAATAGTGTTCATCGTCTGTTTGATTACGTCTTTAATTGATTATGTCTTTAATAGATTTTTCCATACATTTCTGCCATATGTACATTAACTGACAGTCACCACTGATAAGCTACCACTAAATATTGTAGAAACTTAATTTGCTGTAAAGTTGTTTTGCAACGATTTGTATCGAGAAAAGTGCTATACAAATAAACTTGAATTTAATTGAATTCTGGAATTTCGGTAAAATACATGCTTATTTCACTGCTTATAAAACATACAATATTCATCGAATGATCGTTCATATCTAGCCTATAAATACACTAGCTACTTTAGCGACAAGACAAAGGGATGTAGTTGTTGTGAGAACAGCATTGACAGCAGCAATGGTTGTCCCCTCCACCATGTTTAAAGTTTATGACCCGCCCAACTTGGAAACTCTGGTATCAAAATTATTTCCGAATTTCCCAGTAGTAAATACGATTTGAGAGA